CCTCCCTGTCTGTTTCAGCCGGCCAGTGTCAGCCTCTTTGATTTCAATTTTCAGTGATTGATCTTTGAGCCATCCGCCCAGAGACAGGCAAGGAGACCTTGATGAATTCAGGTGCTCTCTGTCCCAAGGACAGGTTGTCGGACACAGGTTCGACGATCGGAATCCTCATTGTTTCTAGAAGCTGCTGAACCTACAAGAAAGTTTGGGGCATGTGAATGCCATCCAGATTTTAATCCCTAGGTTCAGCGTTTGGAGAGTCCGACCGTTTCGCGTTCTGGCTCAAGGGAAAAACATCCCAGGGGCGATCTGCTGCCACATCCTGCGAGATGGGCGCACTTCGGGCGACTACTACGACCTGGCCACCGCCGGGATGTCCACCCGCAGGAGGCGCACTTCTTCCTGGACCAAGCCTGGCGCCCAACCGCCCCCCGTTGCGGCCATGATCCTCGATGCTTTCGCGATGCAACTGACGGCCTTGGCGGAAGTCGGCGAACGGCGGGCTGCACGGCACCGTCTGGCTAGTTTTCGAAGCTCGGCGCGGGGAACTCTGGCGTCAGGGCCCGCTCCGCTGTTCAATCTCACTAGGATTCTCACTTGGGTTCACATTCAGGTGCAGCGCCATGGAGAGATCTCAACTCATCCTCAGGCGATTGCTGACAGTCAGATGGACATGTGGAATGGCATCTGGGAAGGACGGCCGGCCGGCCTGCTTCGTGCCCTGGCGACAGTGGCCGATATTATATCAATGCTGCGACGCAGGATCTGAATAGTACGGAGCCTGCCGCTGTGGGAGCGCTGGTCGATGATGCTGACCCTGACATCTTGCATCACATCTCACAGTTGCCGGATCATGCGCCCCCTGTGCCGACAGTCGATGAGATCCGCAGGGCAGCCCGAACGCTTCGGTGGAACACGGGGCTGGGGCACGATGGATTGCCACCCCGAGCCTGGTCACACCTTTCAGATGATACTTCGGCTTTGGTTTTGTACGCATTCTGGGCTGCTGAATCCCGGGCGAGGTGGCCCACGGCAATGCTTTCAGTGCACATCATGCTGTCAGCCAAGCCACAAGGAGGGTTTCGGCTAATTGCACTCCTTCCATCGCTCTACCGAGTGCACGCGAAGCTGCGCCTCCAGCATGTTCGAGCATGGATGGCAGATCACTCCTGCCCCTTCTTTGCCCTCGGGGAAGGACGCTCCGCGCTTGACGCGGGGGCCAGGACCCTGCTACACGCCGAGGCACACGCGGGCAACGGTAACGCCACCACCCTCACGGCCTTGATCGACATCAGTAAATGCTTCGACAGGTATGTTGGGGGAGGGTCCTGAAGGCGGCGGAACCGCACCAATTTTGCGACAGGGATGCTACGCCTTTGTCTGGCCATGTACTACGCACCGCGACGAGTGAGATGGGGCTCGTCTTACTCTCAGGCTGTTCAAGTGCAGCGAGGAGTGCGTCCAGGATGCGCGGTTGCCATGTATCGGCGGTAGCTCGCGATGCTCCCCCCTTCGACGTGTTCGAGACATCTTTCTCGCGCGATGACTTGAAGCACTCGCTGGACATCTACGCGGATGACGTTGCGCTGCAGGTGGTGGCTACGCGGCAGGACATTGCATTCGCGTCGGTTCGCATCACCCAGCGCCTCGCGGTGGTCCTCGGGGCCCTCGGCCATCCCATTGCGCGGGAGAAAGCGAAGCTCCTGTCATCCACCCCTGGCGTCGCTGAGCAAATGGCGCAGCAGGTCAGTCACCGCGATTGCAGGGCAATTTCTGTATTAGAGGTCTTGGCTCGAGTCTCGTGGCGGTCGTGGTCTACGTCTCATTGCAGTCAGGAGTAGATTGAAACGGCGTCTCAAACGACTACCCCGATTCAAGAGATTGGCAGGCCTTGCGAAGACTGTGCGTGCTGTTGCTCAACCATCGTTGGGCCCAGCCATGCTACGCGGTATTCCGGCGACGGGTGCATCTACGCAGCTGCTCCGATCTATGACGAAGATGACGAGGGTGGGCTGGCACAAGACACCCCCTGGCGCGCCCGCATGGCCGGCGTCGCAGCTCGAACCTAGACGGGATCAACGTCCAGAAGTCTTTGCAGTGGCCGAACCCATCTACATGTGGGCGCAGATGTTTTCGGATCCGGCCATCTCCAATGATGTGTTGCACCATGCCTTCGGGCGCCAGCGCGCGCTCCTGGGGGGGGGGGGGGCCCTCAGTGGAAGCACGTCGCGGGCCTTGCAGGTGCAGCATGGGCCATCTTGCAGCGCATCAGGTGGCGCGCCACTTCCCCATCGTGCTGGGCGACTGCTCATGGTGAACGGCTGGGCCTCCTACATGCGTCGCCTGACTGGGTGCGCACTTGGGCTCGGCGGGCTTTCGTGGACATCAAGTGGGAAGAGTGGGCAACCAAGACGGATCACGCACCTGAGACTGCGGCGCCATTTCGTCAGCTTGCGGACTACTGGTTGGCGCCCTTGCAGGTTCTGCTGGCCCCGCGAGATCTAGTTCGACGTTGTGGGCTTTCTGCGAGGGCCCAGGCGGCTCTGCGTACCACTGTGATCGGGGGGCAGTGGTCTCAGGCCGGTTACACTAATTATCCAGGTTGCTTGCAATGCATGAGGTCGGCTGCGAAGATGGAGACGGACAACCCGACGCTGATGAACGGGCCCATCGCTGACGACGTGATCTTGAGCACACTCCATCACCGGCTTTGGTTCTGCCCCAGCCTTGAGGAGCGCGCGCTGGCCATCGACGCCCACATCATAGCGGAGGCGAGGCGTGGCCCTCCGAATGACATGCTTTTTCAGTAGAGGTCTCTTGCCAAGGGACCAGCTTCCAGTGGTGACTCTTCCCCATCAGCGTGAACAGTGGCAGTATGCGCATGGTGGGGAAGGAGAGATGATCACGGGCGATATCTACACGGATGGAGCGGGCCGCACTCACGTCGGATGGCCAGAGGGCGCCCGCGCAGGGTGGGGGGTCGCCTTAATGCAGGGTCAACGATTGCGTGTCTTGGCGTTTGGGCCTCTCCCAGGGATGCAACAGAGTTCGCCGAGAGCTGAGATGCATGCTGTGATTATGACATTACGGAACGGTCCCTTGCCAATGCACATACACACCGATTGCATGATGACAATCGACGGACTAAACCAGGGAAAGCGATGGTGTCTCCACCGAAGGCGCCCGAACGTGGATCTCTGGAGTCGGATGTGGGCCCTGGTCGAGGACCATGGTTGGACCAGCGACCAGCTCACCTTCACCTACGTGAAGTCGCACCAAACCCAGGATGACAGCGCTCACCTCCTCGGCAAGAGAGGGAATGATTACGCGGACATTGCGGCGAAGAGGGGGCTCGCGATTCACGACATCCCCCAGGACGCCCGACGTCAACGCAAGGCGCTCCTCGAGAAGGTCAGACAGGTCGCAAGCTGGATTGCGAACCCCCAGGAGCTGACGGAGGCCCGTCCTGATCGCGTGCAGCCGATTGGAAGGCAGGCCCGTCGAGCAGCACAGCGCAGGAGACGACATGGGCTTCGCGCAGGTCAACGAGAGGCGCACCAGCGGCAGCCAGGAGGAGGACGCAGGCGCACGCATGACCCTGAGCCCGCGGCCTGCGGGTGGACATGCAAATCTTGTCCGCGCTTCGCGCGCTCCTTGGCTGGCCGACGTCTCATGACCAGGCAGGCGTGCCCCGTGAGAGCCCGAGAGGATCCCCACCGGGGCCCGTCAGCCTCCAGGGATCCTGGTGAGGGCATGGCTGGTCTTGGGCTGGAAGGGAAACGGCCTCGCGAGG